TCCAGGTGTGGCGTGGGGTGCGAGACGGTGATAGCGGCGACGAGGTCTTCGAATGTGACGATGCCTCTCCCGTATAAAATCGATGCCGTTTCCCGGACTAAAGGTTGGGTCTTATTTAGGAGCGCCCATACCTTCATGTCCGCTGAGACGTTGTTCACGGCCGGCATCCGTCGAAGCTGGTCCGCGTAGTCCTCGAATGTTTCGTTGTCGCGTTGTCGTGGCAAATCCGACAGCTGCGGTTCCCCTGGGTAACGATAGCAGGGCGGGGGATGTGCCACGAGTGCTGAAACGGGTCCCGCGACGGCGATCTCCGGATGAACTGGAAGGGGTCCCGCGACGGCGATCTCCTGGCGCAGAGCTGCTGACCGAGGGGCGATCTGCAAGTCGAGAGGACGCAGGTGCCATCCCGGTGGCGGAATCCATCCGTGGGCGATCGTAGGGGGAATCCTGTTGTTCTCCAGCAAGGCGACGTAGTGTTCTCGGTCCGATCCAAGCGGGGTTCCGAGGCGGTATGCCTCCGTGAGATACTGGAGGGTTGGTAGCGGGATAGCCTCCCACTGGCCGCAAGAAGATGCGGGAGCCTGTGGTGCTGAGGGCCGCTGCAACAACGGGATGCGGGCTGGGGCCTGTTCTGTGGGTGACCCGGCAGGGGCTGGAGCTGCGGGAGCTTCCTCTGCAGGCGGATCGTTGACTGGAACAGGTGGCACGTATGGTTGTGCCGCCGCACGTGAATTCTCGGTATTTCGGGTCATCTCAGTGACACTGACTCGATCAAGGTTTAACCGGACGAACCCCCAGTAAGGTTTGATAAAGGAATCCTCGGCCAGTGTCACGTACAACAGAGAGGATATATTCCGTCCAACTCTCAAGTCCAGAGACTCCCGAAATACACAAACACAAACTCAATCTTGTCACTCATAAAATTCAAGAGTCAAAAACCGAATGATTTCCGTCTGCACTGGATAAGCTCGCCTCTCCTCCGAATGTGATAGTGATCTCCTTCCTGGCTAAGCCTGGGTGGGATGATACTTCGGGTGTAGGCACTTCCGATAAAAATAGGTAGGTGTCGCTCTTAAGGGTCCCAATAGGGATCCCTTACTGCATGGTGATGCCCCATTTCAACACAACTTCCACACAAAGAGCCATGCACTCAACATGGGGCTTCTCTTTCAGGCTACTCCACCAGCTTTGTGCAACCCTCTTTCAAAGCCATTATATACTATGAGTGATTTCATCTGCAATGATTTCGCAAACATTGAATATCAGGGAGACTTCTTAGGAAAAATGACATGGTAAACAACTATACATCATAAAAATTGTTTCCTTCAAATGAATAGATAAGTTTATATTTCAAATAAATAGTACTGTTTACAGTGGAGTTTCAGTTAACAAACCCCTTGATGGTTGACAAACTTTTGGCCTGCAAGAAAAATCCCTTGTTTCACAAATACCATAAATCAGTTAGCAAACTTCTTCTTGGGAAAAATTCCAATATTTGAGTTTGAGGCTGAAATTCATGGTGAAATCTGTAATTGCAAATATTCCATCTCGGTATACTTGTATTCAAATTCCTGTCTTTTGACATTTTACTACGTGAAATCTCTTGCTTTAATTTTTTCATTTCAGCAAATCTATTGATATGCTCTTTTTTGACGGAACTATTTACTTTCCTCTTCTTGGTTCACTGGAACCATGCTTTTTTTTATCCCACAGTCAAATAGTTTTTGGTGTTCATTAATTTCCCCAAAATTTTCAGAATATTTGTGAGAATTGTGTTACAAATTTGTGCAAAAACTGTTGACAAGTGAATTATTTTTGTGCAGATCTTTGTATAACTGCAAAAACGACAAACTTACAGACTTGAAAATGTTTACAAAGTCAGCTGGTAATTTTTTTATTTTCTTCCAGTAAATTTTTCTGTATTTCAAACAATATCTCAAAACTGTTAGCAGAACGAAGAGTCATTTGTTTCACATTCATCACCAAAAGCGGATTCTATGTTTCTCTGCAAGTGATGAAAATTCTTTTAAAAAGTTATACATCTGTAAAATCCCTCAGCATGGATCTGCCTCCATCAATTTCTTCTTCCACATGATTAGCGTTATATTGATTTGAGGAAGTATACAAAGTTCATTGTCTATAGTGAAAGAAATAGCATATCTGATTGACTAATGAAAAAGACAAATTAATACAAAAGCACAGAAAAGCAAGGAAATATATTGATCAGAAAATCATAGGAATCACTTTAAAATCATCAAACATTTTTGAAAAAGGTCCCAATAGAGGAACTGGGGGTGAACCATGGTTTGATCTCAATCAATGAGAGAGGTGATAATTTGGCTCCAGGAAGAAGCGATATAGACAGAGACAATTTAAAGAAATTTTTACTTAGTTCAAATGTTACACAAGTCAAATTAAATTTTACTTGCAGCATTAAAAACAGAAAAATCATTTTCAAAAAGCTTCAGAACCAGAGGATACCTGTCAGGCGACAGAATCCTCTGGATGTGAGGCTTTTCTTTAGCTTTGTTTTCATCACTGCTATATATACTTCCCCATCAAACACTAATAAAACATTCTGGGCACATGGAAATTTCAACATGTAATTTCTAATTTGACAAGTATAATCCATCAAAGTCCCTCATTGATGGTTTTGGAAAAGGGAGTGGAAGTTATTACCCCTAGCAGAGGGGCATGGAAGCGAGCGGCGGTGAATTAAAAACCGTTCTGCACTGTAATTTTCCTCACTCATCAATGAGACCAATGAAAAGTGCAGGGGAACGTTCACGAGACTCCATGCGAACAATTCACTAGCTTGTGGCTATTTTTCGAAAACCAGTCGAACTATTTATATACAGTAATCAATACAGTATTCGATAATGCATTCGATATTAGAAGGGAAAACATCTGGTCACATGTAGGACAGGAAAGTTGGAGTTCCATGGGAATCATCGTACCCGCATCAAATCCCAATGTTTACGGTGTTGACTGCTGGTAGATAGGAAGATAAGCGAAAATATTACGAAACGCGCAATCTCGATGTGAAAAACGCTTTCAATAAAACGCACGAAGAAGAATCAAGTTTTTCACAATCGTTTCATGACTTCATACACCAAACCTAGGCGAGCAACACGGAATAATTCTCCAACGCGGCGTCACAAAGTCACGGCACCCACAGCAGTTTCAGCACAAAAAATAAATAAAAAAGACGAAAAAAAACAAGGTGCTTAGCGGCAAAATATTTCACCAAAAGCGGCATCAGCACAGGTGTATACGAACGCTGGATAATAGCACAGAACTTTGGCGTCTGAATCCACAAAATCAACCATCATCGTGACTCAAGGCAGCATTTCCTCATCGACAACAGATACAGCAGAAAAAGGGGTCCATAAATAGTTTTCCCTCCCCCCTTCATGACCACTATTAGAAAATGCTATAACAAAATAATGCCCATGACATGTTCATAGAATCATAACTGCACTGGCAGGATATACGGAAAAATCCATCAGTGCCAACAACTTTCATCACGGAATTAGCAAGAACGTAAATAAAGTAGAAGACCGCGGTGATCGCCAATCGGACAGCGCGGAACATTTTTTAAAATCTTTCGAAAAAACATACGTCCTCACAACGGTTCTTTCCCATGAACTGAATAAGGCGAGAAAACTTTTAAAAATTAACGAAGCGTGTGACAGGCAAAGTGTTCAGTTTTGTACCTGCTGAAAGAAAGAGATACAGTATTGACTGGAAAGTTCTGAACATTTGGAACTAGGAAGATACTCATAACTTCAATAGTTCACTCCAGCAACTGTTGATAGCGAACACAGTTTACGAATATCCTATTAAATAACACCACCTGCGGTAGACATTAAATATCCGTCACAAATAAAGTAAATTTGCAGAACCGAAGATTCAATTGAAGGCATTAATCTCGACAAACAAATGACAAACTTCAAACAGAACGATGCCTACCACAATCACAAAATTTTCCAACGACCAAAATCGGTAATAATTATAAATGGACGGGAATTCCCTCTGAAAGCCGTAACAAATACGCTTCCGGTCATCCCCCTTCCCTTCTGGAACCGAGTGCGACTGCTGATGAATTTCCGGAAATTTCAATGAATTCCTGGTGATAATCAAATGCGTTTTTACACCCGCTCGAGTATGAACTGTATCATTGATGGATAAGATAAACGCGCGTCCAAGTTCTTTTTTCATGAATGTCTTGTTCATCTGAGTGAGACAATTTTATTTTGAAAATAAAGAAAAGATTGATGAATCATCAATGACAACAGGTCGTCCGAATCTGAGGGATATTTCCAGCATTTCTCAAATGGAAACTTCAATATACAGGAATTCATATCTTTAAAAGTTTAATCCAACCATTCCCGGTGCACATCGATTTCCTGAAGAACCTAAATAAGCCCAAGTAATACGCCTTCAGGGAAATAATATGAACTTCAAGTTCGAGGTAGTTGTCCAAGTCTCAGGGAGTCAGGGTACGGATTTGAAAATGGTAACCACGTTTCAACGATTGTCTCTCGCCGATCCACCACCCTCACCCTGCCACACAATAACCCGAGATCATCCTTGATGCCATATGTATGTGAGCATTTTCAAGAAAAATTTGGCTCGACGTTTCCCGACAGAAATGAAACTTCATACGATAGCCCAGATTAAAAGTGTAAAAAAATAATCATGATAAAATCGAATTCATGACTGCAAGCTACAAACTCATCTCAGTGATGTATATTTCGCCATGGCCAACTTCGTCTCGCACGTCTGAACGAGTCAGAGCAGCGATTATACAGGCCTGGTAAGACTAGATTGACTTTAAATGCACAGAGAACTTCCGACTTTTCCAACGTATCGAAATTAGGGAAAAAAAGAATCGAAGAGGAAACACTGCCATGATTCACGAAGAAAACAAAAAAATTCGGCACAAATACTTCCATGGATCCAATACCACAAGATGACTTGTCGCGAATCGAGCAGGATCAAGTCCACATGCCGGCAGTGAGATTGAGGCACAAAGCGCGATCCCGGTAGTCGCCCCAACCGCCGTTGCCCTTGGGCGCCTTGACCTTGTAAGTCGCGCGACGGAACTTGAGCGATTCCGGAAACAAGTTCGCGTACTGCCGAACTTGTTCGTTGACCAGCTTCAACACTGGTCCCACGTCGCAGGATGCTTTCTTGTGGTGGATCCCGCTGAAGCAAGAATGTCATAAACCCGGGAAACGTCATTCACAGGAGAAAATAACAATTATGACTGGACCTCATTATTTCCACAGATGCCAAGGGGTGCTGATGCTCCGGATAATTAAAGAAATCTTTCCGATAAAAAAGCGTTTCGTTTCAAAATTCCCCAAAATTTAAATAATCAATGAGGCAGGATAACTCGGTTTCGGAGTTAATTTTTCATAAAGCATGAGTACGAAGAAGCGGAATTTTAAAGGCACTGACACACAAAAAAATAATAATAAACTGTTTTAAAATTTCAAGGTTGTGAAAAAGGTTTTAGTCACATCGCCAGGATTTCAAATATTGTTGTCAGAGCCAGACAAACAGCGGTTACGCTACATGGAAGTGTAAATCACAATGACTCATTCATACCATGAGTTCAAAATGGCCATGCAACAGAAACTGGGAACCCGTGATCCAAAATCGCAGACGTTCAAAAACTCGAATTTAAAATTTACATGAACGGGTACACATTGACCACTGCTGATTATTTAAATCAGAAAAAGTTTCAATCCGATACTTTGGATACATGACCGCCAGGAAAACGAGAATGCTAATGGAGTCAATAGCACATTACTGTATTCCTTTCCACGCAGGATACACCATGAGTTAAAAATTCGAAGTAGAACAGTCAACAAATTCTGTTGGCATCATCAAAAGATTTCTCATGGAAGCCACTACAAATATATGGCCAAAACCCAACGGTAGGTACCACACAGAACGAACAGAAAATATCACAGATCAATGTGATACATTAGAAACATACTGTATACACTTTTAAAGGCATGCGTTCCGGAGATGCATCCCTGGCAGTAATTCCGACTTATCCTTGTGCTAAATACAACAATATCGTATTCAGTAATTTATAACGCAAGCAAGTATGCAGCGCAATTCGAACATGGTTTTGAAGCTTTTGAAATCAAATATTGTAGGCGTCAGAATAAAATACTGTAAGTTTAAAATAAATTTCCAACACAAAACGGGGTTAACAACAGAGATTTCCAGTTCCGCAAGAAGACAAAAAAACATGCAGCATGCGATCAGAAAAACGTCAAAAGGCAATTGACTGAGATCAACTCCTGACACAACAGAAGGGCAGAAAGCTGAAAACACGAATTCGTCTTCAGGAAAATTTGAAAGTCAGGATTCTGGAGTTTACCACGACAGTGATAAGAATGCATCAAATTTGGACCACTGTACTTCGTGATATTGCGCCAGGATGGACCTTCATTACTTTCCCAATAAATATATGCCAGCTCTTGCTCTGTATTCTTCCTACAAATAATGCATTTACCAAAATTTGCGAAGTAAAATCCTCATTGTCATAAAAGGTCGAAAATTTCGAAATTAGGTCGAAGGTTTACTATATTCACTCACGCACCACGCACACTTTTTCACCCTAAAATTGCGTCAGAGAAACAGCGTAGCGAGGCTTATTTAAATGAAGATTTTTCATGGGTTCCGATTGAAAAATTCCTTGATTTTCCCCAAGAAAAAATTGGGTGAACATCTAGAACAAATGTGCATGGTACCAAATTAATTGAAATCCTACTTCGGTGATTTATCCTGTAAGGGTTTTATTAAAAAAATGTTTGAAGTAAAATCTCTTCCCCAAAACAATTTTAGTATAATAAAATTTTTACTCATTTCAGCACAAAAAATGTTTTCACGAACATGTTGGGGTTTTCTTGATTTGAAAATCTCTTCATACCAAATCACTGTATTCCAAACGACAACCTTTTTCTGAAGTCCCCAAAAATCTGTTGCTAAAGATTTTACTGTAATAGATGCTGAATTATAAACGGAGTACATTCTTGCTCATAGCATAATACATTACTGCCTTTGGAAGGGAAAACGGAGGTCGATGGCAATAATTTTCTTCAAAATGGAATGAAAATCAGGCAACTGATGATTCACAAAGACATGGACAGGGAGAAAAGCGGGAGGAATGCAACATTACAGATGGAAGGGTGAACTCGGACAGGATGCGAAGATAGGATTACCATTCCCCGACATGGAAAACGCGGGAAGACTTCAGATTGAGGGTGAGGAGATTGGGACGAGTACACGTCATCCCAATGTACATGAGCGACCAGTCCCAGTTGTAGTCGTCGAAAAGACAAAACTGCTTCGCACAGCCTTTCACCGAGTTCCACGTTTTTCGCCCAAAGGCCATCCCTATGTTGTGCTTGGACGAGATCCACTGAGTTATCTCCACCTTCACGCCATCCGAATCAGTCACGGATAAAATGACATGCGAGACGAGACACAACAGGAGTACCAACACCATTGATTAGTAATTCTCATCTGTACACTTTCCTGAGAGCTTCCACCCCAACCAAAGAAAAGCACCAACCACTGCTTGAACGCTACGACGAGAAATTTAAACGTACAGTACTGTACAATCATATATCAAGCGCGAGTTCTCAACAAATTCATGTAAGAGCACGGATTAAATATAATGCTGAAAAGTACAATGAGGCGCATAGTTCCTCAACTTTTGATGAATCCCTTAAGCATAATCAAAATGAAAAAACCCCACACACAGTAATGTACTGTAAATTCTATCTCCACATCAGAACTTTTAAAACTTATAGCAACCGTGGCGTGAAAGGATCATTATCAAATTCTGACTTGAACTTTGTGTTCTAAAACAGGACACAATCATTAGGTTTTAAGCCATGATGTGGATATGAAATCGTTCTTCGATCATTACTGTTCACACCTATGCAGTGCATTTTTCGGATCGGTTTGGACAAACTCAAACGAGATTTGGAGCGTAGGAAGAAAAAATATTTTTCAACAATATCTCGAAGAACCATATTTGAGGTTCTTCGTCTGCGCTACTGTTATGTTATTTCAGGATCTTCGTTATGCGCTACTTACTGAAGAAAATTACCGTTAGATGTGTTAGTCTGAACTCTCAACAAACCAGTTGAACTGATGGAGAATAAATAGTCGAGATACCGCAGTTCCATAGAATCAACCGCCGCTTAAACACCAAGCCGATACCGAGCTTTCAAATTTTCAAGGAATGCTTGATTATCAACAGCCTCGCACAGCTTCATAGAAAATTGGTAAAATTCAATCGCAGAACTACGTTAGCTACAGTATTAGAATTTCAATAGCAAGCGCATTTTTCATTATCGTCCAAAAAGGAAATCTGGGTTTCCAAGAAGTCAGCGAAGAAATGAGCATGTGTGGTTTGCTTCAAACCTCGAGTGGAAGTACCGTATGCTAATGTTCATCAAATTAGTGATGAATGAGGCGAGATGGGATGACAACAAAATCATTCGTTTCGAAGCAAAAGAAATGCATTCACACGCTTTTTTCCAGAACCCGATTATTTTTCCGATTTTCATGCTGGCACATTGCAGTATTTACACACAAACAGAGGAATTCATCAGCAGATGGACATTGGATGACTCAGGTTCAATAGGATATGCAACTCTGACTTTATGAGACACAAACCCACAATTGAACATCATTTTTATTGAGACTGCAAGGAAATTTATACGAAATTAGTTTTTCTCTCCCTGCACCGACTTCTCGTACACCCTCATGAAAGTGAACAAGCATGTTTAAAAATTCATCAGAGCTTATTACTCAGAATTTCCCGAGATACACATAAGTCATTAGGAAAAACCATTGATTTCGAGTTTTAAGGAAATAAATTGACAGTAAAATAGTTTGAATTGGTATAGAAGCTCGCAAGCATTATTAATCGCGTGGCTCTGAGCAAGAATCATTATTTCTTTCGTTCCGTTAGCAACCAGATTTTTCGAAAAACTACTTTCGTGCCAATCATGAAGACAAACAAATTTTTTGAACAACATACGGTACTGCATTAAGTTTGCTACAGGCGTAGACAATAACTCGCAAAAATATTTATCCTCTAAAATGTACGGAAATAAAATGCAAAATTTGGCGCTTCATTATCACTATCTCTAATAGGAAGATTACAAAATTTCACTGCGACCGACCAATAATTCACTAAATCTTGCCAACAGTACTCCATCAGTAATATTCATCCGTTAAAAACAGTAGATCAAATTTACCTGATTTCCAGCACGATCCTGGTTTTTCACTTGATTTCCCAAACTAATAATAGCGCATTCCGGACAGTGCATCTTGCTTTCCTGCTTGAGCAGACGGTATGTATGCAATAAGTCCTTGACAACCCAGTGATCTTCTTCCAAAAATATCAAGTCCCCTGTAAAGCCTACGCCGAAGGAAATCGATCATGTATAACGTTAGAACAACAAAACGGCTTTCTGAACTTCCATTTCGCGACTGGGAAGAACTAGTAAATGGATGAAACACTCGGACGAATTTTCAAAATACTGTAAAAGGGAATCCAAAATTGAGAACTAACCTTCCAATGCCTTAAATCCTCCTTCAAATAAATACCATGCTTTCCACCACCAATGATGCTTAATTTGCGACAAATCTGCCTGACGGTAATGGCCATACTTGTCCGGCCACTGCGCGTTTCTGCAACCCAGTTTCTCGGCCCTGAAATGGTCACAGGATAAAATTGAGAATTCAAGTTGCATTGCCATTTTCCGACGGTGTATCCGAAATAAATATGCACTGGTGAAGCTGTAATCTGAGTAAAAATGAATGTCCATTACACAGAAACCCAAGACCAACGTAAACGTAAGCGAAGTGAAGTTCCGATCGAACTATCGCTTCAGTTCACTATTTCAAGGTAATAAAATGTAATCCCGCAGAAGCATCCGGTAGGCTTCAACAATTTCCGAAGGTGACTAAATTAATTTACGAAAGACGACAAAACAATTCGTGGAGTGGATGTATAAAGTAAGTTTAGTATTTTTCAAAATTTTCGCAAATGGACTACATCTTGAACTCAGCGCACGATAGTCCAGGTTGAGACAGAGAAGTCAGTCGCCAGCGATAGGCAAGTTTACTCGCGAAATAGTTCAGACGAGTATCCCTGTTGATGGCTTCGGACCTTTCGAAACTTCCGAACTATTGAAATGGGAATTGTATAGGTGAGTAAATAAATCGAAATAATGCATATTCAAGGAAAATGAATCTTATAAATCATCAGGATTTATTATCCCGCTACTTTTACTGAGCCAACCCTAAATAACGCTCGAATGCACCTTTCTTTTTTTTTTGGCCAGGCGGTGCTTCAATCAACAGGCTTCAACTGTTCCCCGTTTACGATACTGAACCGGTTTTAAAAAGTCCAACCGGAAGACTAGTTTTCCCCAGACCGCCGAGAAAAAAAAATACTACAGGCACAATACTAGCCGAGGAATGCAAAGCTACAGTATGATTTTTTTTAGCTAATCTGTTCTATATCTTAGACCAGAGCCTTTTCGAAATTTTTCAGCCGATTGAATTTCAGTTTCTTCTCGTTTCCAACCAGTTTTTTTTGTCTTTCTTCGGTAAACTTCATTAAATAAAACAAATTCGAGGACTTATAAGAACATGGTATTTGTCCAGATAACTACAAAAATAACCATTTCAAATGAACAGAAATATTAACTCTTTTCTATAATTATAATTATATGTAATTTGAATCGTAGAGTTAGGTTTTTTTCTTCTTTTTACAGTACAGTACTATATTTCCTTCTTCCAAGAGGAGATACCCAAACAAATAAAACAGCTAAACTCAATCAAGAGCATCACCGAAGCTAAAGAAATGAAGCCACAAACTACATTTGAACGATCAACTCTTTATCGTCGTCAAGGTTGATCCTTTTCTCAGAAATCGTCACTCAAAATAGGATATATTCTCCAGGGAATAAAAAATCGTGGCAGCGCGAGTCTGTCGGGGGAACAAATTCGCAATGCGAAAAATCCGTGAACTGAGTACGGTATCAATTTATCCGCAAATCAGGTCCCCATAACTTCGTGCGATTAATTAATTCAAACTGGATGTAATTAAGAATAAATAAATGTGTCAGAAGAACTAACTCCGAACGCTTCAAAAGTGGAGGACAGTCTCTGGGATCCTGGCCCGGGAACTCGTCCGGATGCAGTTGGATGGAGAACGGGAAGAAGATTTGCGCGAAGCGACAAAAGTCGATCCTGCCAACCAGCTCGTTGATTTCGGCGTCAAAGAGATCATGGCTAAAGATGACGAGGGCGTCTTCGATGCCCTGCGCCTGTGCCAGGCTCACCACCAAATGACGCAGGTACTCGACCCGGGAATGCACTTGCACTACGATCACCAACGTTGCGTTGTCCACCGGCCCGAACGCGTCTTCGTTATGGATCACTTGGGCCGCATTCGACAGCCGCACTAGATCACTCACTTCACTCACACTCCACTGTCGGAATGGAACCGTGCTGTTGCTGCTGTTGAATACAGGGACACTGGTGTTGTGGTCCGGCAACAAAAACTTCTCTAACTCCGGCGGGACAGCATATGGGAATGACTGCTGCAGTCGTTGCATCTTCGGCGGGGTTTGGCATATTTCCGGAAGGCTGAAAAAAAGGGACACCCCATCAGGCGTCAACATTTCACCGCAGTAGTTCAGCTTTCCTCACCAGTTTCAGAAATGATACGGTGTAATGTACCAATTCCGGGTTCTATAATTATATTAATTGAGTTCAACAGAACGTTTTTAAATCATAACAAAAAGCGTTTTGCACCAAGATCAGGATCATTTCCGGCATGAATCATCAGAACAGACAAATTATTCGCTTCCGATGCAATAAACGCACGAATACCTCAAGGTTCTCAGGGATTTAGCCCATGATTTCAAAACTCATATTTTCTTCTTTTAGAAAATAAAAAAAGCTAGAATTGGAATACGTTAATCTGGCATTACTATATGATAAGGAGAATGAATGAAATGAATACTTTTTTTCAGATGCCCGCTGGTAACGGATGGTTAAATGTTTTGATTCACATAGAATACATGCGCCTACGGTGACAAACTTCTTGGCAGTTGAAAAGAAAAAATCCTCCCCCTAAATATTCTTGCTTACACTATTTCCATAGGTAGGTCACTTCTGTGACACACCCTTCAGCAGGTAAATTAACAGAGATTCTGCAGCGGGAAACCAAATCGAAGCCGCCACGATTCCCGAATAAAAGTCAGGCCTGAAACTTTAATTCTACAAAAATGAATCGACGCCCACACTCAGTGAATCTGTAATCGGGCGAAAAGAACACAAATTGATTATTTATGACCACGATGCTTTGAGTGTTTAGTTTTGAGGCGTCTCCAGGGCAGATCAGTGGCAAAATAATCTTGGCCAGCTAGAGATAAGAGTAAAATAAGATAATAATGTAAGAGGAAAACGCACTGGATCAGGCACTCCCCGCAGCTTTTCTTACTCATACCAGGAAGTGATCACGGGGTTTCTCTTAGATGAGGCTAATTCAAGGAGGCGGATGGAAATACAGTAATGTTTGACATCACTCAATAGCGTGACACCAACATTCTCTCATACAGTTGAACCTCAGTGAAACTCGAACCTCATCAAGTCAAACACAGTACCGCTCAAAATGGTTTCAAGCTGAATTCCATTAGAAACAATGCATTCATCATCTTATCGACTCAAAGCCTTTCACTTTCAAATCTTCATACTGCCCTTCAAAGTTTTGGAGGCCTTCTGGCTTTAACTCTATTGACACAGGAATGAGAAAAGCAATAAGAAATGCAACTAGATGTGTTTTGAAAGGAAGTGAAAGACATAATATAGCAAATACAATACTACCTTGTCTCTAGGTCCAGTATCCAGTCAACTAATTCAAAATGCAATATGAAGAATAGAATATCACCAATTAAGATTCACTGTAATTCTTCTTTCTTCCGCCCACCGAAAAAGTTTCTTTTCCTAATTCGAATTTTTTGCTTGTCCCTTGAAATTCGACTTGAGTAAGTTTGACGGCAATACACTTTCAAAAACGCTTTTTCAACGTAAAGATATATTGGAAACTCTCAACAGAACGCTAAAATACAATATTCAACAAAAGGCAAGTGCCCAAACGACTAGAACTAGGGCTTATCTTTAAGGAAACACGATATCAACAGTCCCAATCCGATTTCAACTCACCTCGCAGTACCCGGATCATAGTCGGAGCGGGCAAGCATGAAGACAATTAACGCGAGAAAAGGCACGGCGCTAATGAGGGGAATGAACCGCCGCAACCGTCGAACAACGGACTGCTTGGCCCAACGGAGAACCGCCGATGGACCAGGCAACCGGCGCCGGTCCATCGGGCCAAACAAAAAAGGTGTTTGGCCTCACGGGAGAGGCGAACCTGCGATAACAACCACACCATGAACCCAACAAAGACGTTAATATGAAATCCCATAACCACAACTCTCCCTAAAAAATGTTTTTATTCCCCTACCAACGACTACCGTTGGTCCTTAGAAACCCTTGAAACCGGAAGGTGAGTGCATTATTTCAGAATGTAGTTGGAAGACTCACATGGTTACTAGTCAAGAAATCATGCAAATTTTTCCGAAGTTCGAGGTTCAACACAAACACAAACCATGGAACACTCGAAGGTTCCAGAAAAATTGTCATGCAATTGAAGAACAGCATGGGATTTTCAGGATTAAAAAAAGATGAACGAAGACGCAGAACCAGACACCTATCGAATTAACCGTTCAAGTATCCACACCCCTCCTGTAAAAATACACACATACAGCACGCTCAAAAATTCAACAATCTTCAATTTCACCAGGATGTTGTTCAGAGGAATAGATAGTTCATTCAAAAAAAAAAAAAAAAAAAAAAAAGAATTCCAAACAACCCGTCAGGGCATACAAAACAGAAGCTTCCAAAGAACAGTTCAAAACTCACAGTGCGAAAACTAGGAAATGCTGCTTTCCACGAACGCACTCGGATATTCCGAAATAAAATAAAAACAATAATTCCTAAAACGTGCGGCATCACATTCCCACTGCGCAACGAAGTCGCGATAAGAAAATCTGGAATAATAACGTTCTGATATGCGACAAGAAGTTCCACATCGAGACTTGGTAGCAAGAAAATTCGAATTTGTAATCGTATCAAAGAACAGATAATAAAAAAAAAGTTGCCACCCATCTCTAGTATCCAACAAATTTTCCACCTCTCACCATATTTCCTTGCCTAACATTTATTTTCACTTTTCCACACTTGAAAAATAAATATCCCATTCGTAGACGCATCGGAACAGCAACAATTCCACTTTCAGAACCCAAAGCACCGGACACGAAGGAAACCTCAAGGGAGAACACGACCATTGCCATCGTATATTCAGCGACACGTTCGAAAACTACTCTCAAGTTACGAAAAAAACACGTAATATTACCCCAGTGCAACTCCGACGAAGAATAATACAACGAATGTGTTCACAGCAGGCAACAAACAAAAAACATTCGGAACAAAGCTCCAAACGACATCTGCCGTGCGAACGGTTGTGGCCCAGCCGACCGTGACACACACGCGATCACTCGTAGAGCCTTCGTAACTATCACGTTTTCATGTCAGCGGATTAACCGGAGCAGAAAACCACGGAAAGAGTGCAAATGTTACGGAAAAATATTTGGGGCTCTATTCGGTACAGTGTACAATTAAATTAGTACGTCGGGGCGGAAGCTCTGGAAAATTTTCAAGCGATTGATTTTTGATAGTATCCCGTTGAGCAATATCAGATTTGCTCGTTTACATCGGAGTTTTTCTCAGACTTTTCAATACACGGATCAGCTCTTCGTTCGCCAAATATTTGCTCCCTGAGCCAAAAATTTCCGTGTTGACCAGCAGCAAACTTTCGCGGACACGCTCAGATCCGAGGGATACGGTTTGAGATGACTCAGTTTATTATTTTATTTATGTTTGGTGAGATATTAATGTAGTTCGATCGTTTTAGATCCTGTACTTGAGTTGGTTCAGAGTTAGGCTACTCGAGAATGACAGGTGAAACGAAGGGTCGCAATGTAACAGCGCAGCTACTAGAAAAGCAAGTAAATCTTTGCAATCGGTTCAGAGAAAAATATAAAAACGGACAAATAACCATAAGCACCGAAGTGAGGATTACCTCCTGGGATCACCAAGAAAATCTCGCTGGGACTTCGCAGAAGACGTGAGAGCGCAAGCACTTCGATTTCAGATAAGAACCAAAGATTCTCACGCAGAACTTCACGTGATCGAAGGTAAGTCGGGATTTAAAAAGAAAACTATCGACTCACGGATAAAAAAAAGACGAATTCAAAAATCGGATGCCAGGTGCGCGAATCGTCAGAATAATCGCAAGGTCTCCAGGATGACGCAGAAAGTGACCAAAATTTGCTTTCAAAACTGTCTTTCACAACCTTCTAGCATCGTATAAACCATATTTCCCGCGAATGATCACTGAAAAGCACGATTTATCACTTTATCATCACGGGCACTTCCGGCGGATATTTTCACGTGAAGGTCAAAATAGCCGCTTCTGAATCACGTACAGCACGCAAGCTACAAAGAATGCAAAAGCGGCGAATATGAGCAGCTTATCCGTGAACTCACGGCGTCCGTACTTGGTCAACAGGTTGTGGGCCTGGGATATCACATGGTTCATGCCCTTGAACTCGCTCCGCACTTCCTCCAAATGCTGGGACGAAGTAGCTGCAATAAATTAATGAGACAAATTTACGAACCTCTCGTAAAAATTAGGGAGGAATGATGGACGGAAAAATTAGCTAGGAATAATCAGGATCTTGAAACTTTGTGCTTCAGTGGAGCAGTGAGAACATTGTCTGTGTGCATCTCTGCCTTAGAACACTAATAATACATGTGCATCATTTTTTCGCATTTTCGTATGGCAACTTAGCTTGCAACGCAACATCATGATGGCTACTTTTTACTCTTCATACAACTTTTTGCCAACCCAGTTTACTTTTGTTGTCTGTGCATGGTCATTGACTGTCACAGCACACCCAGATTCATAAAAAGGTGTAAAAACACTTTTTCATAGCTCATTGTTGGTCTGGGTCCATTCTGAACAGTGTTGCGGAGAAGAAACTATCACTAGCTTATCTTTTGTAGACCATTTCTTTCAAGCATTCTGGTAATACGGAACATAAATCTTCTCTTACGCATTTGTTCACTGTACGAGTTGATCTGAAGAAAGACTTAAGAACCAAGAAGATATTTTTGGTGAAAAAGTATTTTATTCCTATTAAATAAATTGTATTGACAAATAGAAAAACAACATTACGAGAAATGATATTCCAAAGCGGGCAATGTACGAACAGTTGAGCAGAAGTTAGCGAACACATTTTTCATGCAATCATCAACACAATATTACAGCGAACATTTATGGATGAGCTACAACTGTACAAGGTGGACCTTACAAACATTTTCGCATAATGAACTTTAACGAACGGAGTCATGACAAGCCTGCGCAATCCTGTCCTAAATAGAGTACTGTGCCTAAAGCGAAGTTTAACAGATGGAGCACAATAACTGCAGGGTAATAAAAAAAAATCACGGTTACTAATTGTATCAGATTTTACCAAATTATCTTCAGGTATTCAACTTTCAACCGATCACCGTTGAAGGCATCACCATGGAAATTACATTCCCAATCGATCTAAATAATGACACTCGACGAAATAATGTCTCAACGAAGTACAAATTCCGTTCTTTCCCTTTTCAAACACAAATTGAAAAACAGGAAGGGCTGATGTACATTCCAATAGAACTGGTAAAATCATATGTGTGGTAGAACAATTGGGAAAGGTCATGGGCTACCAAACTGTCGATTGAAGCAACAAACCGGGAACCGGCCAAGCCGAACATGTTAAATTGACGGAACGCTTCGATTGAACAAACAAAGCGGGACAAGCGTGAGCAACAGCGGACACATCAACGCTGTAACCAGCCCAATCAAGATGAGGAAAATTACTAGAAAAAAAAAACCATACACAAAATACTGTACTGTATTGCTATTCACTCGACGCGATCAAGCAGCAGGAAGTACTGTATAAGTTATTCCCTTTTTTATCGGTGACTTTGCAGTGAAGTACATTTTCTGACGTAGCACAGATTCTTTACACGTAACCCAAGAATACAACGAAAGCTTATTTTGAATACATAAGCTGTAACTTCTCAGATGCTTCCATGCGCAGCGTAAGTTGACCGTACTAGTGAAAAAATGTTCTTCCTCTAACGGAAAAATTAAAACTAACGGATTGAAATCCCTCCATATCTACTGAATTTCATTTCCAGCGACTTTTCCTTGGAAGCATTGTATTGCAAACACAGTTGGATTGTGGGAAGAGTTGTAATTCCAATGACAAATCAACTACTGTCCAGTACAGTACTGTAATACCATTCTGTTTCCAGAAGCACCAGGAAAAGAAATGTTTTTTCAAAAACTTAAGGATTATTGGACTTTCTTGATACAAAATTAGACTGTATTAAAAGTAGTTAAGAATGTTATTTCATTGTTTCTGTAAAATGTTTTGTCTTCTTTCTCACAGCAAGAAAAATTCAAATTTTTTACTGCAAGTGTATCAAGAGCCCTTAGTGTTAGAACACGTTTCCGCTTGGAGAAACTGTGGAAATGCACATTGCGGCTGTTGCTTGTAAAATATGCGTTTCAATTGGTTGAAAGGGAAAGCACACCAGTAGTAGTATTCATCTTGAGGCGAGGATAAGTGCTGGGTTTTGGAGCAATTTGAACAGGGGTATTTGTGGGAACTAACTCAATTGTTCCGCCAACATCATGCATGTCAATAGCTTCCAACCTTCTCCATCTTTTCACAACATATCTCACTTTAGCAATGCAAAAATATACAATACACACCAAAATGGGTTAGTAATATGATGAGTATAATCAAATATATGTACCCATAGTCTCAAAAATGTATTTGTAAAGTGCTGATGTCTTTAAAAATATTTTGGACACCAGGAATCATTGCAGGGATTTCATCAACAGCATTCATTTTGACATTCTCCAATTTAGGGGTGTGATCTTTGAAAGGCCCATTAACAATTGTATAATGACAATTTTCTTTGAATTGAATCATGCCAGGATAAGGCATTGTGTAAGAGTTTTCTGTGGCAGGCAATTGCTTTTCTTCAGATCCTGCACAATATTGAGTGACTCTACCTTTGTTGTTATCAATGAAAGCAAAATTGTCTCTATCTAATTGCACCACTAGATTTTCAGGGGCATTTAGTAGGTATTAAAGGGCATTTTGCTTTTGATGGTAGATTCTAAATCACCCCCTTGGATTGCTTGAATACATGGGTCAGCTGATCTTGTAGGTGGCTGATGAAAATGACAAATTCTACATGCAGCATGTCCAGATTGAGGTAAGCAAATTGGTATTTCATTGGCTTTTAAAGCAAAGAACTTTTGACTTTTTAAAAAGTAAATAGGGCTGTGAAATATTTAACTTCAACCACTTTGGCATTTACATGTAGGTATCTTCTGCAATTGGGATGTTGTGAACATGAGACAAATCATACCAATCACTGTTCCTTAAGATTGGCACAATTACAGTTATTTGGTAATGACACGTGTTGTCTTCTTTCCAAACTCCTGTACATTTCTCTGGCGTTCCCAAAGATAATGGGTGAGAATGCAGGATTGTCATTAAATCCAGGGTACGTATTAAAGTTTGAGATGATTTATTTTCAGCATCAGCAATCTTCTTCAAAGCTTTTTCCAAATCAACATTTGACAGTAAAGAACTAGGGAATTGAAATCTATGGAGACCATCAATGTTGGTCATCAGAGAAGTAATGATTTTGGAGATTTGGGTTAATTCCAAACTTAGACTCAATGATCTGATCCAATGATCAACCACATCATCATTAGATGTATTTAAACTTTTAGCAAGACCTTGAGTTAATTCAAACAGAGCATTGCTATTGATTCTGAAAGGGGAAGCTGAGTCAATCATTACGCATTTTGACAGAATCAATGTATGGGTCAGCTCTTATTTTTGTCTGGATAAAACAGGCATCAATTCCATGTAGAATATGTCTTCTGGAAAATTCTTTGGGCTGCTTTTCAATTGCTGTTTAAGATTGCTTATTAGACTGCCAAAATGTAGTTTCTTGATTTTCATCAACTCCAATGATACATTGGGCATTACATTCACTGTTGTCTTCTCAGAATGCAAAGTATGAAAATTAGCTATAGTGTTTGAAATGTTCTGCAAGCTATTAATGAGCAAATTGACATCTATAGAGGCTTCCAAAGTCCAATAAGAAGATGGAATGCGCATTGGAAACATTTCTTCCAAAACAATTTCAATATTGCTGGGAAAAATTACTTAGAGGAGATGCCTTATCAAATTGATTAATATTTGATAACATGCCTTTCTCTTCATCTGGAATTTCTTCTATTTCCCATAAATTTCCTCTAGTGCACACTAACAAGATAAACAAAACTCTGAGCAAGAACATTTTGTAACTCACTTGAAATATTTCTATAGCGTTGAACTGTTCAACAGGCTGAGTTGACTGAATGCGTATATGTATGGCAGGGGTGCTCAAGATACAGCCTGCAGGCCAGATCTGTCCTGCGGAGGCTTTTCATTTGGCCCGCGGAGCCAGCATGGAAAATCACCACACAAAAATTAAGACCCACAAAAAGTAAAAATTGCAAGTTTTTCAGGACGTCTTCAGTCTGCAATTTTGATTAGGAATTTTATTAGGGCTTCACAATAAATTCTGCTATGATTCTGCTAATAAGAAAGAACATTTTGCATTGATTTTTGATGTTCTGTTATTCAGATTAAAGGGCAGGGTTTTGCAATTTTGGAATGCAAATCCTACCCCAGCATTTTCTGTTGTGTTTTTAATTTAATCGCATTTCTTGATAAGGGAAAGATATACAGCAGCTTAATTTTTTAAATAGCATGAACAAAAGTATACCATCATGTAAAAATGCAAGTGTGAATGGATATGGACAAATTTAGAAAGACAGTTCAACACTAGGCCAATTGAGATGGAAAATTTGAGTCAGGGACAATTTGAGACAGGACCAATTTTAGACAGAGGGAAAATTTGAGACAGGGTGATTTAGTGACAGGGACACTTGGAGACCTGGACATTTAGATACAAAGATAATTTGATACTCTCCCAAAGCAACTCTGCACAAAATATGTTTCTCTCTTATACACTTATTTTCTGGCTTTCTCCAGATTCTCAGTGAATCTTGAGGATTTTTCAATTGCACTAAAATTTCAGGTTGTCCCCAGATTCCCCCACCTCCTCAACTCTGTACACCACATTTTTTATATAGTGCTTAATTTTCTTTTTTTGGCTTTAGCATGATTCAATTTGCAGATGATGGCTCAGTGATTGACTAAAACTTCACAAAAAAAACCCCAAACAATTACCTACAGGTGATGCAAAACACATACAGTATCCTGGTTTTGAATATCCCAAAAAGGCCAGAAACATTTTATGTGTTGGAAGGTAGAATGAATGTTTTCTTTGCATGAAGACCCATTTTTTGAATTCTTAAAGGTTATTCATTCTGTAAAATCATTAAAGAGACCATATTTTCTCCACATTATGCAATTTTGAAACACAGGCTTCTATTTTTGTTTCAGCCAAAAATTATCCTCAACATTTAAATTCACTCATAATTTGCAGTTACTTATTGCTTTTGGACTCAAGTTGAATCTTTGAAAAGTTATGCAGATTGATTTCTATGATTCCATTAACAAAAATCCAGTCATAAAGTAATGAAGATATTTCAACCATCCCAGAAATTCTTGAATTACACGATGTACTGGTCAACATTTCTTGTGCCTTTTTTCCATTGTGGCCCACATAATGCTCTTCTACTTCAATGTGGCCCTTGGCCACTTCTGAGTTGGGCACCACTGATGTATGGCTTGTCCTGGTGCATGGCTGCTTTATTGCCTAGTTGGTGTCCTTTGTCTGTCTGGCTTTTTAGTATGGGGTCACAACATTTGTTGCATTACCCTGTCCTTCTTGCTTTCATTGCAAGCATTGGCCCTTGTACTAGATGGAACAATGTTGTGCTCATCCAAGCCTTTCATGGGGCCTAGATGCGGTTGCTTTTGTAAGCAACAAACGGACTTCAGAAAGTTCCTTTCTGGTTTTACCTGAACAAAAACTTGTTCATTGCCCACAGTGGCGCCATCCTGGCTACTAGAATGATGTTCTGGCTCATGCACATCCCTTTCTGTTCCTCTATCTCTTTCTGCATTGTAGTGTTATTCATGCTCAGGCAATTGCAATGGCATGCTGAACACAGGCGGATGCCCTCCCTCCATGACTGTATCAGAGATAGTTGGGAGTGAGTTGTGACTCTCAGAAAAGTCAAAGAAACAACCAACTTTGTCCATGATGTTAGACATCAGGTCTCTTGTTCATTTCAGAATTCCCTGCTTTTAGGGCTGGGCAATGGAACAATTGTTTTGTCAAAACTCATTGAATCTTGTGCAGAGACAAAGCTGTCTGATGTACTTCCATCTGAAACAATTGTTGCTTCTGTGGCTCCAGAATCTGAAACTCTACTTGATGTTGTTTGATCTAAATCTGTGTCATTGATATCCAAGACTGTTTTGTTAACAGATGTGGGAGAATCCTTTTCCTTTGGTTCTTGTTCATCTGCATCATTGTCATCATCTGGTGATTCACCTGATGTTACTGGTGATGGAACATGTGATGCTTTTCTCACATGGTATGGACGGACATAGCAAATATGTACAACATCTGTCCAGTCAGGTTGAGAATCATCTTGTACCCTTACAACTACAGGATCAATAACTTTGATGACCGTATAGGGTCCTTTATATTTTGGAGACCACTTTCTACCCACGAACATTGCTAATTTGTGTCTTCAAATCCAAACTTTATCTCCTTTAGCATATATGGTACCCTTTTTCATAAGTGTTTGTTCTTTCAAGATATGAGGCTTGATTTTTTTAACACATTTTCATTAACTTGCTTTCTTGTCCATTTGTTTGTCCGGATCAAATTTTGCAACTCAAATTTCGCTCACTTCCCGACTAGCTAGCAAGCTTAAACTTTCAGGATAGCTTAGAAATTGATGACAATGCAATCTTTTGTTGAAAAATGTGGTTTTTTAGATTAATTTTTTAATCTACTATAATTATTTTTTCTTATATCCTCTTGAGCCCTTTTTTGTACCACTTCTATATGATCTTTTTAGGTATCATATTCTGTGATGTCTAGGAATTTGTCCTGATTGTAATAATTGGGAATCCAATATGTTTTTGGCTTTAGTCCGGTAACAAGCTTGAATGGTGATGCTTGTAATGCTTTGTGTTTTGATGAATTATGCACCCATGTTGCATATTTCAACAATTCATCCCACGTTTGTTGGTTATTTGGGTCTAGATATAAAGCTAAATACTCATGTAATTCCCTGTGAGCACGTTTGTTTTGGCCATTTCCCTGGGACCTATACGCTGTTGTTGTTGTAGTTTTTGCCCCTATAAATCTGGCCATGTCTCTAAAAATACTGCGCCAATTTCTGTTATCCTAAAATCTCAAAAAGATGTTAACAATGAGATTTCTTCAAGTCACACTTAGCTTTAAGTGAATGCAAACCACAACGTCTTCTGGCAAGTTAAATACCAGCCTTGTGGCTCAGGTAACAACTCTTGCCTTTGCTAATTTACCCAAGTATTTTTCTTTGTGAGTTAGGGTTTTACAGAATAAATCAAGATAGACTAAAGCAGTCAGAACAACAGTTTATTGCTGAACACAGTGACAAGCGTTATCAGTACAGTCTCTCAAATGCAAATGCTCTCTGTTGTACAATGATGCAGCTTTTAAGGGAATGGAATATGGGCTGGCAGCAGGTTGTTCAACTAGCTGACTGTACAATCAAAACAAAGAGGGGGAACAAAGACAGCAATGCGCAGCTCACTGTTCACCACACAGGTGAATGCGAATTTCACATTTCACATTCCTCAAAGACAGCAATGTGCAGTTCACAGCACAGCACAGATGAATGGGCATTAATCCTCCCCCAGCTCAGGCTGGTACAAACACAAAGAGAAGGAAAGGAAAAGAGGGGAGAGAGCAACTCAGGCAGGGGAGCCAGCTAAGCTGGTTTCCCAAAATTATGGATATCAAAAGGATTAAAGTAATGATTCACAGTAGTTTTTCAAACAAGTTCTTTAAAATATTTCCTGCAGATTTGATTGCTTTCACTCAAAAGTTCGTCCATAACGGCTGGAATGTTCCGGTGTTTCCTGAAACACTGACCAAATCGAAGCAACGTAATCTAATTTCATCCAACACTTCACAAAATCTAGGCGACGCTTCCATGATGTAAAGAAAGCCCAAGAGTCGGAAAATTAAGCATTTAGAATTAGATGCACAGAATTTCATTTCTTCAACTCTGTTCAAAATTTACCGAGATTAAGGCTGCTATCCAAACATTTAGAAGCCAAGCACCAAGAAAAGTCGGGAATGAAATAACATGATTTAAAGATCAAACAATCTTTTCGAGACTTATCCTTCTGCGGACATTGCTTGAAAATTATTTCTGTGAGGTACAGTAGTTCATGCTGTGAAAGCACAAAATGCCACCAAACAAATTCCTACTGTGCGCAGTTTTTAAAACAATCAAGGGCTAAAGATCCATAAAAATTATTTTAGTCATGAAAATATAAGAGAATGTCAGAAACTCACCCAAGGCATCAACGGTCATTTTTGAACGATCTACTTGCTCTGCCATCACACGAGCAATAGCTCTCAAGTCATTCGTCACATCAGCCGCCGAATTCGCGATGGATTCCTTGCTTCTTTCTTCCCTAGAGAGAGAACAAACATAAAAAAATGTATCACCAGCTTCTCTGCTCGGTAACGTCACATGACTCTTGACGCAAAAAAAGAAATCTTTAGAATGCCAACCGCAGAAATTACTCACCTTCGAACCTTTAACTTGTATCCGTCTTTAGTTCTGAACAATTCCTCGGCATTCCTGTTTGAAATCGACATCTGGCATTGCAGATTGGCTTTTCTTAATGCAGTTCTAAAGCTGAAAAAAAAAGAAAATACGTCTTCCGTCAGCGAAAAGTAAGTGACGAAAAGTGAAAACTTAAAAATCAAGAGAAAACATAAAATGCAGCGACATTACTTGGTAAGTTCGATGCAATGTTTTTTGGATTCCTTCATTAGCATATCTCGGTCTTCGCCAGCAGGACAATCGACGGCAGCATCATCAAGGTCTCGAAGTTTCTCACGCAGAATTTTCGTTTCAGCTCTAATATCTTGGTTCAAATCCAGCAACCCAATATTATCCACTTGTCCATCTCCGATTCTCTGAAAACAGGTGCGATTGCGGCTCAAAAATATTTGATCCGTAAATTTGAAGTTCCGATCATGAACTGTGAAAAATTTACTCGAATTATGGAGCTGATGCGGATCTCCCTTTCCACGATGTCCTGTAATAACGCTTTAACAGCCGCAGAATCCATGCTCTCGGAACAACCCAACGAAACCTGATTTACGATCACCTTCCAAGCAATTACACATTTCCCTAGTTATAGAAAAGATAGACGAAAAAAGTTAGGTCATCAAAGAATCTGGATCAAATGCCGGCTTTTGCGCATACGAACTCATAACACTTCACAACCACGAAAGTTCTCAACCGCTCGAAGAACGGCCTCCGAGAAATTCAAACTTGAAAACAAGATCGAAATGACAGGATTTCATGCTTCAACAAATTGATGCGCACTAAAATCATCACGCGGAATCGGCGGACACAAATCCGAAAATAATCTTACAAAAAATTGAAAAAAATGTTCCCGCTGCCGCAAATCTTGCTCATCTCGGGTTTGCTCGAACTCATCTTCGCTCGTCATCATCGCAAATGCCCCGTATCAGACGAACACTTTGAAGCGTCTTCCTGAGAGTATTCTTCATCGCTTCCGAAGAAAGCGATTCAAACTTCAGGGATTCAAGTGAGGTTTCCAATTTCAATAATTCGTGGCGAACCTCAATCAATCGGTCTTCAAGCGACGCGTCAGCTTCCGGTTCAAAAGACAAATTACGTGAACCCGATAACGGATGGTTCTCATGCCGTTTCAATTTTTTTGAAGCGTATCTTTTTACTTCTTTATATTTTCTGCCTTTCAAATATTCCAAACGAACTAGCTTGACGAAAGGTTGGAACATTTGATGATTTTCAAACGACTGACGAACACCATCTTCCAGACGAATTGTCCCGTTCTGCAGCAACTTTGATGAATGAATAATGAAGACAACATCTTCAGTTTCTTTTCGAGTCGCACCAAAACCCAACGCATATTCGAGTCGGAAATTAGCATCATGATCCCGTTCTATTTCCGCAATGCCCTGTTGAGGCGAGGTTTCGCGACGTTTCTTTCCGGATGATCTTTGCGAAGATGGGGCCACTTGCGTGGATTCCTCGTCTTCGTCTGATTCAGAAAGAACTAGGCCGGACGAAGATTCTTTATCGCGTGATCCAGAAAGCTGATTCGGAGGCGTGATACATTTCAGAGGAGAACTGGGCTTCTTGTTATGAACAGCGGGGTCCGAGTGTTGCTGGAGCCTGGAATACACCTTTTGCTGTTTCGGAAGAACTGTTTCGACCTTGGGAGGACAAAATTTCTTGGCTACTGGATGAGGACCCAACATTCCCATCAGTCTTCTCTTCATTAACGTTAGTGCCGTCGTCTCTGAAACACGATCACAAATAAATTCGATTAGAAGCAGCATTTTCATGGTTAAACCAACCAATCATTTGTTTAAGGCAAATACAATAATTTTCTGAAATACAGTGAGACCCCCAGATGCGTACGTAATTGGTGCATCAAGAGTATCCCTAAGTTGAATTATCCAAGTCAAGTCTTGTTTTACCATAGACTGACATTATATAATTTTTAATCGGCATTTTATGGAAGAAATATTCTTCAGAATTCCATGAAAAAAATGTTCGCCACTTGAATTCGATTAAGTGAATATACATTATTTTAACTCAATAAGAACATTTGGAGCATTGAATAGTTTATCTAATAGTGAAAGCAGATCTCGCCATTTCAGAGCGATATTCAATCTCGGAAAAGCTTTAACTCTCTCCTGAAGTACCTAAACGACATTCTGCGTGCATCGAAATTTTTTTCCATGGGGTTTAACCTTCATGTTGAAGGGGTTCTCTACAACGATTTTTTATTACATTTCTTTGTGGAGAGAGTCAATCTGTATAAAAAAAGAGCGTGATATACCTGGGCGCTTTTTCTGGCGAGACTCAAGCACAACCGAATCACTAGCCCGTGCAATGCGTTTACGACTGTCAGCCGCAGGATCCTCGGATTCCGAAAACCAGTTATTCACAGAAAAACCACCAATGGCATCAGACATAGCTTTCGATGTTTCAGTGGGACGTCGAATAGGTACTGGTGATTTTTGGGTGTTTTCAGTGGGACGTCGAATAGGTACTGGTGATTTTTGGGTGTTTTCCGTGAACACCCAATTCTGCGAACACCGACCAGCAGGATCTTCCTTCGGTTTATCGACATGTCCATTGGATGCTGGCTTCTCAGGTATAGAAATGTTTGCCGGAGTAACTGCTTCAATTGTGGAACGGGACTGATCCCCAACGCCAACTGACTTGACGGAAGCTGCTGACGAGCAAACGGGATTCTGCTTCTCAGGTATAGAAATGATGCCCAGACGAACTTCTTTGATCGGGGAACGGGATTGATCGACCATGCCGACCGAGTTTGTTGATGGACGAACGGGATTCTGCTTCTCGGGTACAGAAATGTTTGCCGGCGGAAATGCTTCGATTGCGGGAAGCGACTGGTGCTCCGAGTTGACAGACACTATCGAGATCGCCGTCACAGGCTCGGGGTTTTGCTGTTCCGCAATGATGAGAGCATCTTCGTCAGACAGCTCCGTGACTGTCCACGACTCCGATTGCAAAGAGCTTTCTCCAAGAACCAAAGGAATCCTCACGGGTTCGTTCCGTAACGCATTGTCGTCGAGCAAGTTTCGGTTTACATTCGTGTTGATTTCGGCAGCGGAAAGAATCCGAATTGCGGGGAACTTTCGATTCTCATTCACTTGTTCGACTACGTTCACAACTTCGATATCGGCCGATTCTGTGTCCACGGTCTTCGGGGCAGGTAGAATTTCAGCGGTACTTTTCTCAATCTTCGGCATGATTTCTGGGGCAGCCAGGGCTTTGGCCCATGAAGTCCACGACGGGACTGTGGTTGGCTGAATTCGCTGCTTGTTCAGTTTGGACCATTTGTATTCAGACCAGGCGAGGCAGATATGACAAGGTTGTATCCTTGAACACGTTCGACAGTGGATGCACAGGAGATGATCATCCCAATACGATAGTTCTTTATGACACTTCTCGCAACGGAGGATCGTCAATTGTTTACCCTGTTCCCCGGCCGCCATTTCCGATGCTTGTCCTCTGAAAAATTCAGGACAATCTCAGCTCAAACACAGGATATTTCAGGGGGTACCCAAAATAGAACGGAACGGTGCTAACCAGGACAGCGTGTGAACTGAACAACACTAGGGAAGCACTGTATGCCAGTACAGTATATAGCTATAAGTGATAAGACGACACAAAATAAACTAATTCACACATTCATTAAGACACCTCGATCGAAATCGCTTCTCAGATGACCGTATAGCGAAGCGTTGAACAAGCATTGCTTCATGCATTGAATAATGTTCCATGCAATTACTCTTTTCTTCTTTCTTCTCATGCTTTCAACTATTTGGTCACATTGAAGGTCCGCCAATAGCAACTCACTTTCCAGCCGGTGGCATCACGTTTTCAAAATGACAGCCAACTTTCCTCCAAACCGTCGACGTGACTTTTCAACGGCTGGTTAAAAAGGAATAAAAATGGTGATGCGGAAAATGAAAGCTTGAAGAACAAATGGACTCACATGAGGTATCACGGTGACACGAACGGATCGTGCATCCATCAATAGCACTTCGTTGAAAAACCAAAAGAGAAATCATCACAAGATAACCCGTTCAACAAAAAGATCGGTTCTGGAACGAACAAAATTTCGCTAATTGAACTCTTTTCAACCTGAAACGCTCTCACTTCGAAAAGAATAAACAACCAGTAGGCCAATGTCACCGACTTTTAATTCAAGGCAAATGCAACGAAGGCAAAAAAATTCCTCAGCACCTTCGACAACGTTTTTGACGAGATTTGTGCATCCCAAAGGAAAAACAAAATATTTAAACGCTACAGCGACAACATAGTTCACTGACGCGGTAAGCACGCGAATACCACAGACACTGGTACATCACAATTGAAACCGATAATGACGTCATTCAGAATATATTCTTGCTTCGAAAACTAACATTACATTACCTTCAGCAACTGAGTACCAGTTCAATTCGAATGAATCTCATTATCTCACAATTATCAATCTCGATTAGCGAGTTCCTCGCCATCGGAAAGTTCTACAGTAAAAAGAGGCGAAGCTATTTAAATAAACATTTAAGAAAATAAAAAATAAAAACTGCAATACAGTACAGTCCGTTCTGGGCGATCACGACCCGTAATAAACCAAGTGAAAGTTCAAGACGATTGTCGCCCCGACCACGTCCAAGCACTCACTCTCTGGTCTCGTCCGCCAGTGAAGAGAACTTCTTGTTCTTCGGACACGGCCAAACATGTCACTCCTCTGTCATGGGCGGTAACGTGGGCCAAGGGTCCCATCGAAACCATATCCCATACAATCAGATCACCAGAGTCACTTCCCAAAATGCATACACTGTCGCTTTCCGCCCAGTAAAATGCTCTGCAGATTCAAAAGGAATACAAAACGTCATTCGCAGATGGATAAGCCCGGAGTTCGGGTAGATATTGGCGTGTGAGCGGCGTATTGAATACAGGGGCTTTCTGAGCGGGAAGCTTGAAACAATTGCGTCGTGCTCGCGTCTAAGCACGTTTTTCTGAGAGCGCCTAGAGCCTTTACAAGTTTACTGAAACTGAAAGACTGCTTTGCAAGAAAAAATAAAGTAAGAAAATAGTTGCCGCTATGAATTCGTGAACTGAAGGTTTAAAAACAAAACAAAAAATATCTAAAATGCGAACGTGCGTGGATAAATATCCATGCCGAATTACACTTCAACGCACGTAAAAAAAAAATGTTGCTTTCAACTTACAATAATTCCGCAAAACTTGGTTTGCGGGCTACACAATTTATCAGTGAGGCTTTTGCAAAATCAACCTCTATAATATAAAACATGGCCCCGAAAAATCAGACCCCTTCACACGACATCGAAGTTATTTTCAAACATTGGCAGGGACGCAGATAAGATTTCGAAACCAATAAATTTCAGAATTCCTCCGACCAAGTCTAATCAGTCAAAAACATCGTTTCTGAGACATGGCTGCATCAATCTAATAAGGACAGAATTCCGGAACTGTGAAGAGATGAAAAATTCAAATGCACTGAACATTATTCGGCTTTGATGATACAATTACTGCCTCTCGCATTTACAGCTGGAGACAACTACAGGGATAATCGAACAGTAATTTATGGGACTTGATTCACACACAAGATTACACATCATAAAAAGGCCCAGATGCTGAATATTCAGTATTTTTGCAGTTCTCAGTTTCTCATATTTCAACTTGCAAATTTTTTCAACGATGCGAACGAGCGCAAGCCCCGACTTGATCATCTTTCAACTATCAAAAAGAACTACGTATTCTAAAGGAAAAGCCCTGCTCGAACATCAACATCAAACATGGTTCCAAGATATGGACAAGCTCTTCTAATAAAAGATGAAACAATTCAAAAAATGTGAGAAGCTGAAAGTGAATAAAAATATGGATTGAAATTCACACAATAGAAGTAAGCTACGTTGATTTTTGACCATCAGAGATTTCACACTTGGAGCCGTACACAGATTGGCACTTGGGAACCATTGCTGATTGAATGTTGAATCTACGAAAATTTTTTCGGGACAATAAATAAAATAAAAGGATACAATGGTTGTTGACGTCCTGAATTCACGATCATGAAGGAACACTCAAACGCAACTCACGCAATTCCCGGATTGAAATCCTTCGTAAAAGCACTAGATCTCATCCGAAGATCACAGAGCGCAAGCCGACCGGTCCGAGTTGCCATCAGCAATTTCCTTCCATCAGCACTCAACATGAGGCCAGAAACGGCGCCATCATCATTCCCGGCACGAGTCCGCAACAAGTCCGCGTGCGAAACCAAATCCCATAGTGCAACAGATCCGTCGTCCCCACCGGCCATGACGACTCGGTTCCGACGCCGGACCGAACAAGTGACAACACGGGAATCGCAGTCCCATTCTGCAACGAGATCGTCAGGGACACGAGGCAGCTTATAGCCGCCGTCGATGCTGTCCAGGGCGGGCATGACCCACAAGCGTACCGATGAGTCCCAGGACCCCGTTACGAGTAGGTCTTCGTCCCACTCTAGCCAAGAAACAGCGTCTTCATGCACCATGCATGAGCCGGTTACTCGACAAAGCTCCACATCATACACGTGCCTGAAAAAAAAAGATCACAGACGATTCAGGGCAGGATAAAAATAATGATTCCCTCGTGTAACGGGAAAAAAATCAAAAATGACAACGATTGCACTCCCAATAAATCGACGGCACATTCCGAACTTGCCAACAAAGAGGCATGACTTCCACTTACACTCAACAAGGATTCTGTTCTTAGCAACATGAATTTAAAAACAGAGTACAGTTCTGTAGCATGCGTTCTAAGTCTCAGGGTGAAACTTTGTTTTAAAGCAATTTACGACATCCTCGAAAGTTTCATTTTTTTAAATGTTCCATCCGAAGGATAAAATCTCAGAGCGGGGCTCAATGATGAACATTACATATTCGAAATTACTGTTGTATTTTACTACACACAAGATATATGATTGTAAGACCCCTGACAGATAATATACACAAACGTAAGCAGAGCATGTCACACTTTTGATCATGGATCATTTTCGTCCTTACAGAAAATACGCCAAGTCATAAAAAACAAGTTCCATTTTGAATCAAATCTCAGAGCAGTCGAGGAGAGAGAAAAAAAAATGTATGTAGCCGACCCGTTTCGAGACACTTCGTCCTTCATCGCGCGAATACTAGAACTGAACTTTTACAAAGCGATTTAAGAGGAACTTAGAGAGATAAATGCGGTTCATGCACGAAAGTACTTCGCCCGAGGAGTAAAGAACCACTTTTTAGCAGCATAAAAAATAAGAAAGGTAAGTGCCGCGCGGAACAAGCTCTCAAACGGAATTTACGGAAAACATGGTAGTTCGTCAATTCTGAAAATCTTGAGACATGATATAAGCATTTCAAAGATACTTTATTAACGCTTTGTTTTAACACGGCAAATTTCCATGCCTGGAAATTTAGACAATAAAGAAATTCAACTGTAGTTGTACAACGCGACGAAGTCAACGGATTTTACAAGGAACCCAACAGTGTTAACCTCTACAGATTCATAGCTCATGAGTCATGACACCACTGATGATGAAAAGACTTCAAGTCTCCAACTCCCTCCCTGCCTGAATTTTCCCTGCTTGTGCGGAATTTGTCTTCTTTTGGCTTAGACCACCAACTGTGTATTTTTTCATATTTTCTTGAAGTAAATTTTTCTGTTTTTGAAACATTACTTCCAAACTGTCAAGGAACAGTCAATTGTCTCTCATTAATCACCAAGAGAAGATTTTTTCCTTTATGGGTGTCACATCTTTTGAGAAAGTGCCACAAGTCTTTAAAATCCGCCAGCCCATTGATCTGCCTCAAATTATTCGTTAAAATTATGAAAATAATTGTTGACTTGCTTTTGAATCTACATGTTGAAATTTACTGATAAAATGAGGGTTTAAATTTTTGTTTGAACTAAATCAATGAGAAAAGTGATATTTCAGCTTCAATAAAAAGCTGTCCACAAATTCAATGAAAAATAATTTATGTAGTCGCTCAATTGTTGGACAGGTGAATCTGATCGTCAATACTTAGCAGGATTGTAAAACTCACTTCATGTTCAGGGGACATGTACCCTCATGTGCGGGTTTCTCTGGATGTGAAGTTTTTTAAAGCCTTTTTTTCCATCAATGCAACCTCTTTCCAACACGAACAAAAACATTCTGGATGCCTACAAGATGCAACAACTCATTTTGATCAGATATTTGTCCTGAATATTTTCAAATCACACCTCCAGTTATATTTTTGGAGCCAGGATCGGATTAATTGGTTCTCCATTGAAGTCTATCGGAAAATAAATTTTGGTTAACAAATTTATGTTTGGAACCCAGGAACTAATTAAATTTGTTAACCAAGGGTCCACTGTAGATTACCCTGCATTGCTATTAATTGAAAAATAAAATAAAGACAGCGTCACTACTCAGTTACTTTTTGGAGGGCGTGTACTAAAATACCCTCAATGGCTTGGGGGGGGGGGGGGGGGGGGGGGGGGGGGGTGGGGGTGGGGGGGGGGGGGGGGGGGGGGGCGAGGTGAACTTACACATGCTTGTCCCACGATCCAATGACGACAGAGTTGCCGTCAGGTAAAGTTTGACACTTGGCTAGTGGCACCACTCCAATGCTCGCACTTCGCAACTGGCAATTTTCTTTCCAATCGAACACCTTCAACTGGGAGTCCAACGAAGTAGAACAAACGATATTCCCGGCGCCACTCACACTCGTTACATCAAATTTGTGCAAAGCGTGAGCACTAACTGCCTCCAGGGCGACCCAACGCGGCGGAGATTTATTAGGCGTCTCCAAAACTACCCAACCATCTTCATTATCTCCATCTTCGCATCCGGACGAGGAAGCCAGTGGACGAGGAATTGGATGCAGACTTTTGGCTGGATGGGGAAAGGTGAAAAGCTGGAGAGGTACCTGGCCAAACTCCATGATTTGCGTCTCGAGGGCATACTTCTCGTTTGGATCGCTCACTTTCCCTAGTTCCACTGCTCCCTCATAACAAAGATGATAAAAAACTGCGGAAAACGAAATACCTTATGATAATACAGTAAGTATCCGCAGTGTAGAAATCACGCACAGCAAGCACATTTGTCGCTGGATAACATAAAAAACCACGCTCTGACTACCAAGCACATACATTCTTGGAATGAATTCGGGAATTCATTCCAAGAATGGAATGAATTCCGGCTCCGATTTTTAGTCACTTACACGAAGTCAAGAGGTCTCTTCTTATTGCATTCAAAACTAAAGAATGAGTCTCACAAATGGATTTATACAACGAACTTTACAACAAAATGATGAACTCAGAAAAGGTTGAGTACATTACGCTCAAATCAAGATCAGACACGAGACAATTCGCAGAATTTTCGACATAAAACTTACTATTGCACGCTTTTTCTGCTTCTTCGCCCCGTTGCTTGTAACCGAAAATCAAATCAATCCATTTATGTAAGTTTTCCGAAACATAATTCGATTCCAACGCAGCTCTCATCTTGTCAACAAAATCCTGAGGACCTACATTGATGAAAAAAAAAAAACTCAATAGATCAATCTGTTGAAAACGAAGACAGTCAAAGCCATGGCTAATTTTTTAGCAGAGATCTTCAACTTACGCGATGCCCACGCGGGTAAAATAACATCGCCAACTTGAGTTCCATCCTGCTTCTTCCCGAACTCAACCCCCAAGGAGTTCACCAGAAAGTCCCCTTCTCCACAATAAAATTCCGGTATGAGTTCTTTGAAATCCGCGTGGTTTGTCCAAACATTTCTCCAGGTTTCTTCCACATTGTTGAACATTCGATCAGGTTGGTCGAATCTTCCATTCTGGATAGGAAAAAAGATTAATTTTTCAGAAAAAAAAATGTCGATTAGACGGAAACTTATGAATAAATCGATCCTGAACAATATTCTTGAATTTGCTATGTGTACGTCAACTTTAGCTCCTCAGCATTCGTAAAACTTCACTGTTTCCATTCAGTAAGCCAGAGGACATAAATCTCTCACTGCTGAATAACATTTACTGTATATTTGATTACATTATCAGCTTAAAAAACGTTTTCGCTTTCAACTTATGAAAATTGATACATCGAAAATGGTCTCTCCGACATAACGAGTCCTGCTCGATCAACCTGTTTTTCATGATTCTCGAAATCAAATAATGTGTCCAGATCATGCGTAATTCACTTTTCTAATACTATACATCAATGGAATTCCGGTTGAGCAGTCATACGAACGGGGCAGACACATTCCTTTCAGATTTCTGGCAATCGAAAGGCATTCTTTCAAGCGAATTATTCGAATGAATAGGGGGAGACTCTGGCTTTGACTTCTCGATCGTGCACAGGCGCAATATTTTCAGAATGTGAAATAGGAAACGAAATAAAAATGAAACGAACATTCAAACACAGCATAAACTCAGGCATCCTCCTCGCCAGGTAGAATAATACGAATCCTGGGGCGGAATAATGACTGCCGTACAGAAATCGTGGACTGTCACCATCCGTGTCGTTCATACGATGCTTGAGCGCCGCCAAACGATTGGGATTAAGAGCACCGATCGGCTTGCTGAGGTCCCGAAAAGATTTCGGGTCCTCTAAATTCAGATCACAAGAGGAATAATCACTAAGCACCCACGGAAACACTGGGTACTGGCTCAAATCGTTGAGGCTTCGATCCGCGCTCTTGTTCAGGAACATGAGATAATCGAAGTTGGACACAGCTCCTGACCTCCACGCTCGGGTCATTGCCTCTGAATCTTCAGCAGGTTTCGCAGATTTTTGAAGAAGCGAGAAGAGAGCATCGCGGTCCTTCGTTTTCCGAAACGATAGGAAAAGCGACGAATCACGGTAAATCAACTCTAAACCCTGTAAACATACGCTAACATAAAATACCGAGAATGCGCACAAATCATTCGAGGTTTTGTCACTCACGATGTGTTGCAAAAGGAATCTTCGTTTACTGACAGCCTGAATTTCTTCAAGTTTGATCTTCAATACAGGGAACGCTTCCACGTTATTGTACGGCTGGAAGTATAACCTCTTTTCTGTAAGAAGGACTCTACCGGGATTGACCATCAACGGAGTAATTTTGTTTCCCTGTAGCTCGCAGACGGGCAATTCTTTCAAATCCTCCAACCACGATAAATCAAATTTGACTCGTCTTTGCATCGAGTACACCATCGTTGAAATCTAGAAAAGTCAATTCATTAGAACTGACGGTTTCGTCTGGCAATGAAAAGATCCTCACCATAATATTTTGCTCATTCGGAGATAAAAATGTTGACGCTCGATGTAACTGATGAAGTTTGGGAAGACAACAGTCAACTTTCGCGTAAATGAGCTCAAAAACATGACGAGCCGGTTGCTTCTTGAAGATGTACGGTGCGGGAACATTTTTAGCAAGCATTTCGATCACAATATCCGAACTGATGGCGATGCTCGGCTTGACGTTTATTAGGTCCTTGTGTTCGCGAATGGCGGAGCACGATTTGAGCGGAATTCGTATCAACGGATGCTCGACGGCGATCGGTTCGAAGACAACGGACTTCGAGCATAACTTCAGCCTTCCTTTCAAGCATTTTTCAGGCTGTTCGACCGGCCAATAAGTCGCTGAGAAATCTTCGAAGTAGATTTCTCCGGGTTCTAGTAACAGCAGCGAAAAGCGATCTCGCTTCAGACTGCCAGCAGCTAACAACATTTTCAACAAAGAAGTACTCCAGCCACGACCCTCGAGGCCACACAACCATACTTCAAAAATGTCTTCATTCCCTACGGATTCACAAAATTACTGCTCAACTATCAAATCCGGCCCAGAAATACCAAGTCCGTAAAAGCTTCACCACAGAACGATGAATGTTTGTCTTTCGCAAACAACGCTTACTTGAATAAACTACCCCACGTCAAGAAGTTCAACATGAAAACCTCGACAACTGACTCAAATATTGTACATGTTTACTCCGGATTTCACCAACGCATGACGACCGAACGCGCCGCAATCAAACGTCAGGTTATTGGCAGCCTTGTAGCGAACACATGGGAGCACACGTCTAATCATTCCCTCAAAGCTGGTGGGTTCGATCAAGAAAGAGATGATGCGAAGAAAAATTATAGATGTCACTTTTCAATATTGTTGAAACAATGGGGTGGGTTTACTGTGCATTACAAATTACAATACAGTATGCAGCACATTTTGCTATACTGGCGGGTGTATTTCTTAGAGGCACATGACGCGATCAACAGCGGTTGACGCACGTGGCACGATCATTTCGTAGTTATATTTTCTAAAGACGTTCATTCATGCTTTATAAAATCGTAATTCACGCACGTTACCCCGTTTACCAGAAGCTTCTGCGTTTTATCTTGAATATGGCGTCTTATACAGGCACATCCATGTGCATGTAAGCACTGTACAGTACTAAGAATTATCGTCAAACGAATACAATTGTGTACAGTATTGTGATCACAATTTTTCATGTACGTACTAGCTCAGCAGGAATAAAACCGTTATATTTTCTATTAATAAAACGGATTCCACAGTTTGTCGATTGAATGAAATTTCGTATAGGAGCCCATGTAATGAGCTGCATGGGAGGTGTCGTTTGAATACTGTATTATTTGAATACAGTAATGCTGTACTGTATTACTTTACATGATACCTTTCAGAAACATTACGGGATTTAGGCTGCTGCGAGAACTGACGAGAGGAAACAAGAAATGCAACGCATACAACGGAGCTGCAGCTGGAACCAATTCGTCTTATGCTACAGCATAATACAGTACAGTAGTAAATAAAATGATTTACTTTTTCCTGAACACGCAGAAGTTCAGGTGTGTTTAGGAATCAAAATTGTGGCATTCAAACGCAACACGGATACCAAGTGAAATACAAATCTGACAATAAATACAATTAATAGATCCGAATAAAATATCTTGACACATTTTTGGGAAAAATAATACAGCAGCTTTATAGGTTAACCATCTGTTAAAAAGCCAGAAAAATACGCGCAGTATTTTCCCGAAACATAGAATATAACGTTATAAATGAATTTCTTCAATTTAAACACAATAGTTTCATTATAACGAATTTGTTTCTGTTGGACCCAGCAGCAGTTTCTTCATATAGGGTCAATATTATATAGTAATCTCGTTTTACAACAAACTTACGAGAAGTCTTCTATATAATGCGCAACATGTGGCAGAAGCACTTTAAAAGGTTCAGCCATTATTCCCCAAAATATTTAAACCAGAAATGTTTTCAAAAAACCCAAGACTCTCGATAATAAAGAATTTTTATCAGGTCCGTGTGGGGATTTGTTGCAACGAGATTTTACCATAACTGCATGAGTAAAATCTGGTCTTGAGAATAGTCCCTACAGCCGTTCAGCGATGAAATATTAATTCTCACTTTCTCAGGATGATATACTGCATATATATATATCGCTGCTATAATACTGGGCAAAATTTTCGCGGAGCTCAATGACTATACACGTGCTTATCACGCATAAACCTGTCCTGATTTCGGCAAGGGAAGTTCGCCCAGGGTATATGAGATAAAGCGGATGAATGATGAAATACCCGAGCGCAAAATTAATGAAGGACTACAAACTCGCGTTTATAATAGTCACGCGCGCGATACCCTTGCAAAAATCAGCAAGAGAAAACACAAACAAGTCAACAACAAGGAGGGAAAACACACAAAAAAGGAAGGAAAAGCAAAAAAAAAAAGGAAATTAAAATCATTCCCGCTTCTAAAAAGAAGAAAGAGAGAAAAAAAACAGATGATCTGAGGCAGGCCTGCCATCATGCAGCTTCCGCGCCAGTTTTTTTCCCCCACCGATAATCGATGCCTCCTGCAGAGCGGGCGACGCTTGCATCGTGAGCCTAGAAGTCGCTGGTCGGCGTGACTGACGGCGGTGACGGCCGGATAATTCTTTCCCCCCTCTCTCTCTATACCGTATATATCAGCTCAAATACCAGCAGTTGCCACAAAACAGTCTACTCTGTATACATACAATACAAGGTCGTCCTCTTGAGAAACCTCTCAAGAGCAGCATACATTCCTTGATATACAGCCAACCCACAATAAGACGCCACCATTTGTCCAGAGCAATTTTTGCTGTTTAAAGAGGTTGGTGGTTTATCGAATATTTAATTTTGATTATTTGATCAAAAATACTCAATTTCCCTCCAAAAGTCATAGAGATATACAGGGTTATGTGTAGAAACTTAAGTAATTTTCCAAAGAGTATTGCTGTGATCAATGGATTACTCTTTCAGAAAATAAATTTTGCTGCATCAATTTATTCAAATTTTAAGATTAAGTAAATATATTTTTCAAAATTTTCAGCATCATTTTTTTTCTTCTCACAAATACAAGATCCTTGGCAGAAATTATAATTCTGCCCCAATGTTGGCATTGTAAAAAATACAAAACTAATTGGAAACAGCAATTTTGTTTCATCAATAATGCTGGCAGATGGTGGTTGGCGTCTTAATGACTTTAACATAGAGGNGAGATTTGTTTCATTCAAAATTTTGGCAGTTGCCAACGGTGGCGCTTTATCCGGGGGGCATCTTATAACGGGGTTGTACTGTACTACTGTACTTAGCGAAGTTGACACTCGGTAACAGGAAAAATCTCCATGCCTTGAATTTTTGTTTACTGTAATAATACAGGCGGACTTTCTCGACAACGAAATTCAAGGGACCAGAAAAATTTCGGTGTAGAGAAAATTTCATTGTAGAGAAATTCTCTATGCAATGCTCTCGTCTGCAACGAATAAGTTCTCTGTATACCAATTTTTTTCAGTACTGCATGTACCATACATAGTGTTCCTAACCATATTAAAAGTGCTGTTCTCTGCAACAAAATTCGAGGGACCAGAAAAAATTTGGTTTAGCGAGAATTTCGTCTTATAGAGAACATTTTCAACGAATTTCACTGTGTAACGGTGTTTTTTTAGTAACACATAGGGTTTACTAACCAAGTTAAAAGTGTTTTCTGCAACGAAATTTCAGGAACCTGAAACAAATTTGGTCTAGAGAGAATTTCGTTTTAGAGAACACTTTTATCATGAGTAGAAAACCATATACTGTATACGGTACCAAAAATTACTCTGATTCAGTGCCAGCATAGAGTTCTCTATACTGTACTCACATAAATTTCTCCTCTTAGATGAAAATGATACAGTACTCAATAATCAATAAATACGGGTGCTTTAAAAAGATCGGGAGAGAATCAAAACGATTCAACCTTGTCTTTCAGTTGGAAAAAGAGTTTGAAAATAAAAAAAGTATCGCAATTCAACAGCAGCACAAAAGAAAGTCTGCTGAAAATGTTAGCCTCTGGTTCTGAATAACTGAGACCGCTCAATTCGAATGTATAGTTAAATTATGTGATGAATATACTGTAATTCGTTAAGAACATTGGATGTAGTTTGTTACATCCTACCCTGTTTACAGAGCTTCCTCTAAAACAAAGATTGACAGAAGGAGGGGAAAAAATGCAATAATAAATCAGTGCATCTTCTTCGCATCCTCAGCACATGCCCCTAATTCGCAATTTATTAGACCACAGCGTCAATCACTTGTTTATCCAATCGAAAAAGGTTTCTACAAGCAATTGTGCTCTCTAAATCGCAAAAACTGCCTCTGAGGGATGAACAACCAGCATTCTTCATCAGGTTGATGGATATATACAACTCTAATATGCTTGACGTCAAATGATAAAAAAAGCCATTTGTGAACACAGAGCAATATCAACGAGAAGTTTTTTTTTTTATTTCCGCAGGCAATCTCTATGAAGATTAACGAAAAAAACTAAGAGAAATAATACAAATGAGACATACTGTGAATGCGTTTTTACGATATTTTTGAGAAGCAAAATATGTGAGATTCATCACATCATAAACATCAGAAGCTGAAAATGCAACTCGACGGCATTAAGTACTGTATAGAATAACGTTTTTGAAAGCTTCCGAGAAATGTGTTGATGCTTTTCGAAATACGCAGGAATATCTATATTTACACTCCGGATTATCATACAACTTCAAAATGCATTAATTGTATTAAAAGTATTACTCAGCGAGTCAGCGTTCATTATTTTGAATAGTCTTTATCATTATTTTGGGACAGAATACATTTCAGTATTTTCGAAATTTTCGAAAGAAATACTTACATATAATTTAAAATATTACATAATTTCAAGTACTGTACATAGGTAGAAAACCATTCCAAGATTACGTAACCTGATGCATCAACATAATTCCTCGAATTCTGAAGAATAATATATTTCTGCAAAAATAACCATTGAAAACAAGTGTCTAAGAGGCGTGATCGTCAACTCGCTCTTCATAGCACATTATCAGGGTCATTACTGTACATAAGGTGTACAGTTTATGTATTTTTTAAATATTTTGTCCAGATTGCTGCTGGATCATAAGCTGCTCCTAATTAAAGTCCGATGAAAATCGAGGCTCATCTTTGAGCAATAAATGACGCAAATAAAGTTTCTTCTTTTGTTTCTGATGAATTATTATACAGTAGTTGTATGAGCACGCCAAATATATTATAGAAAAAAAAACTTAGTTTCTCGAAGACCAACGAACAAATAGGAATAAAAATCAAGCATGTACACGATTTAAATGTTTTCAAATGAATTCCAGGCAAGGTCCTCACAGCAATTAACCAGAATAAAGTAGAGCAATTATTCAGAATTCGTCATTTATTTTACGATACAAAATAAAGGGCAGGCAGCGCTACTATTTTGAAGCACAGCCTTTTATTCAAATTCGTTTCCGGACATAATCCGATAGATTTTCATGTGTCACCTAACTCAAAAGGATGAGAGTAAACCTCTCATCCCGCCGTCGGAGAGTTTGCAGAAGTTATTATCGGCAGTGGTACGTCATCGTCATTTCCGGGAGTTCCATCTCCATCATCAGAATCTGTAATGGCGACTTGAAGCGATTCGGAAGGTCGACGTTTGATATCAGGCGATTGACCCAACATGACCCCGAGGCACAATTCTTGCACAAACAATCTGCGCAAAGTCAGCTCTTGTTCGGGCAAACGAGACGAAGCTTCTTGTTCCACTGCATCAACGAGTTTTCCGGATAAGAGACGAGTGTCGGAAAATAAATCCGGAACGGTTCGTTCAATCCGAGTGTCACTCGGCGAATTTATTTTGCTTTTCCCCGTTCTTGCGTCTTTCCGCTTGGAAACTTCTGCCAAAGCTGTCAATCAAGAAGTATGATTTCTAGAGAGCTCTCTTACGTTGAAAATAATTCACAGAAAAGCATTCACAATTCAATCGTATCTTACAGGTTTTCATGTGGTTTCATAATGCCCTTCTTACCTAACTGGTAAAAGGTAAAGAATTCAAGCGTTCGAAATTTTAAGTACACGATAACATAGATGTCGCTCACAATTCCCCCAGATTTATGCTGTGTAGAAGTTCCGGTCGGTTTTTTGGGATTAGTTTATACAATGAAGCATAATACCGTACCAATTCTAACAAAAATATCTACTTAAAAACTGAATTTAGTTAGTTTTATGCATTTTTTATGCTTTCAAGGTTCGGGAGTTTGTTGAAAAAGGGATTAGTCAACACACATGGACAAGGACAGATATTTAGAAATGATCAATTCGTACACTTGATTTTGATTTAAAAATGGGCAACTGATCATTTGGGATAATTTATGACCGGTAACCCTTTCCGGATGGTCGCATGGTACCAATAAACGTATCACTGACAAAATTAAAATAAATTTGTAATGACCCATTTATGAATTTTATCAACATTTTGGCTAGCATTAAAATTACTGAGCCTATATTCTAAAATCTTTAAATCATATACAGCAGGTGAACTCTCTTTATTATATATATATATAGAACAAAATTCAAAGGGACAAAAAAAATAGTTCCAGGGAGAATTTTGTTGCAGTGAACCCCAATATAATATGGAAAAAACCATGCATGAGACCAACAATTTTTTTTCACAGATAAAATCGTTGTGGATGAGATTGCTGCTGCTGTAGAGTCCCCTGCATAAATACAATAGGTCAATTTGAATTTTATTTGGTAAACGGGATGCTTCGAATAATGCTATCCTCATTCTGCATGATTCAGAAAAATGGTTGCATTAAATTAGAATCCTGTTGCATCACATTCATTCGGAACTGAATAAATCCAAAAAAATAAATAAAAATCCATCCATGATGAAATTGAAAACAATATTACAGTATTATGGCTATATAGTATAGCATATATATATATATATATATATATTGATGCATGCAACATCAGCAGCATCAGGGACGTAGCTATCAGAAACTATACTTGAAGCAAGTAAGAATCAATCACTACGCGTTTTTGAAATTGAGATTCCGCTGTAATAATTTAAGATATTCGCATATATATATGTACAGTTGATCAGAGCTCATATGATGCAGACAAACGGTTCTGCATAAACATAGCGGGTAGAATGCTTCTGTATAATTCTTGAATATGAGCTTGAATATAGGAATTGTTCTTATCATGCCATCAAGACTATAATTCAATCAAAGCCATTTCTTTTTGGCCTTTTCTTTCGCTCGTATTCTTTTTCTTCTTTTTTAAAGCAGCATGATGGGTATAATAATAAGGACCTGAATTGCAGCTAGCACCCAGGACGTTGAAGATGTCGTCCAGGGCTTTGTGCCTCGTTAAGGTGGCCCTGAGTCTCGCCTGAGTGGCGTTGAAAGCCGCGTTGGCAGCTGCCAGCTGTCGCTGATGCCTCGATCGTTGTTGTTGATTATTTCGGGTGTCGGTGCTGGTGCTGTTGTTGTTCCTATTGATTTCAGCCTGGAACGCGTCTTCCCTTTGATTCCCCGGATGCTGGCTTTCCGACGACGTTTCAGACGCTGCTGGCAAAGCCCCGTAATTGCTGGTCCTAAAGAGCATTCGGAGCGCAGTTTGAAAAAGGGGGGGTTTCTTTGTATACATGGACTCAAATACATCGGGGAGAAGGGTATAAATTCATTAAAGATCATGATCTCTCTCTCTCATTCTCACTATCTTGAATGCCTTTTCAATAAACAAACATGTAATGCACATAGGATGCATTACTGTACTGTATACAACCACATATATATTAGCATCAAAATGAGGCATTTTTCTGAGTACCAGGTGCGCCTTTTATCTAGAAAATCACGGCGGAAAAATATTCAAGATATGCTTTGCTGGGTTAGCTTGACTTGATATGAACATTTTTCAGGAAACGTCATCATTTTTCCACCATTGGAATAGTCCTTCATTGAATCAAAAATAGATTTTGTTTTAAATTGTAACACAAAGGACAAGTCATTATTTGAATACTGTATAATATATGCATCAAAATGTATCTTGATGGCAACAAAATATTGTTGGTTGAAGTTATGTCTTCCCAACTTTAAGCTATAATTTTGATCAAAATACAGGTGAACCTCAATAACCCAAACCTAACAATGTTGAAAACTTCCATGAGTAAAATTGTTCAAGTCTCCTTGCTAATTACCTTTGAAGCAATGCACTAAAAGCCTCCCTGTTCCTCTCAAATCTTCAGCATTATTTACATTTTCTGAGGCATATTGGCTGTTATTTTATTGACACAGGAAAGAGAAAAGCAATATAAAGTAACTGAATGCGTCTTGAAAGCAAGTGAGAGACTAATTGGGTAAATGAACCCCTACCTCCAAGTTCAGGATTGTTCCAACTCATTGAAGAAGCAATTGAAGGCCCAGAATACAGTAATACCATTTAGAATTTCCTGCAGTTTTACTGTGCATCTCAAAACATAAATGCTTGTTTCACCATCTCAAATCCTCCTTAACCCTTCAGTGGTGGAGCCAGGAGATAATTTCAAAATTTGCCAACCATGGCAAAAAAAAGAACAGTCGACGACGACTCGAAGAATTTCACCGAACAGCGGCCCGACAACTGAATGATTAACACGCCATCTGAGGCGTTAAGAATTAAAAAAGGTTGCAACCGACACAAAACCAAAAGATC